TTGCTCCTCCCCCATTCTTCACCTTGCACTCATAGGACTTGTGGCCTTCATTGTGGTACATGTAGCAAACCACGGTTTGTCCTTCATCAAGCTTCTTCACTCCCTTGATGGTGTTATCTTGATGAAGTTGGGCTTGCTTCGCCCTACCTTTTACTCGAGTCAAGTCCTTGATGAGGCGAGCTACTTCTTGCTTGAGTTGCTCATTCTCCTTTGCAACCTTTTATGTGCATGTATCTACAACAACTTTCTCAACACAAACTTGGTTACACAAAGATGAGTCTAAACATAAATTATTGCAAGAAGTAGAGGCATCCTTTTTAGACATGTTGAAGATAAAACTTTTCTTTTTAGATGCCTTGGTGGAGGTTGTACTAACGGTTTCAAGATTAGCAACTTTATTAGTTAGCTTATCACAATGTTTGCACATAGTTTTCATTTTAGCAAGCAAACTTTTATAAGCATTTTGTGAGCTAGCTAACTTTTCTTTTAATTTTTCGTTTTTCTTTATAAGTTGCTCATCATTGATTGTGCATGTGTTTGTTGTTGCACTAGCCTTAAGTTGCTCAATTTTAGTAGATAGTTCAACATTGAGATTAGCAAAGTTCTCATATTATTCAAACAAAGTTTTGTATGCTTTTTATGAACTATCTAGTTTTTTTTTTAATTTTTCGAGCTTCTTTTGTTGACTAGTGCAAACTTTAGCATAATTAAGAATTTGTTGCACAATTTTATCATAAGAAGGCATTTCATCATCACTATCACTCTCACTAGAGGATAAGCTTTCGTTACCTCGCGCCATAAGGCACATATGAGAAGAGCTTGATGATGAGTGTTTACGCCCTCACCTCTTGTGATGGTGTTCTTCTTCACTTGAAGAATCATCCTATGACTTTATTAATGTGAGGGCTTGGTTTTTGCATGTCTTCTTTGTCTTGGGTGTGAGCTTGTTTGGACAAACTTCCATAAAGTGCCCCAACTCGCCGTATCCATAGCATCCTCTCTTTCTTTGCTCATTTCTTTGATTGGTGAAAATAAGATCTTGGATTTGGATAGACACACCCTTAACATTGAGCCTTTGGATCATCTTCTCCACCTTGTTGATAAGTTTGATTGACTCTTCATCAAGGTCGGAGGTGTAGGAGGAAGATTGATCGTCATCACTTGATTCTTCTTCATCATCATCACCATCATCATCATCATCATCATCTTCTTCTTCTTCTTCTTCTTCTTCTTCACTTGAGGAGCTTGAGCTTGAGCTTGTCTCAACTTGCTTGCCCTTCATCTTTTTTTTCTCGCTACATGCGAGAGCTTTGCCTTTGCTTGATGAAGAGGCTTCTTCTTGACCCATCTTACGTGACATTTCAAATATCACTATCTTGCCAATGACTATGCCCGGGGTCATGGTGCTCAAGTCCTCCATGTTGTGAAGGATGGTGATGATGCTTGCATATTTCTTTTGTGGTAGCACAGAGATAATCTTCCTCACGATGTCCGCATCATCTAGTTTTGTTAGTCCTATTGAATGGAGCTCATTGATAATTAGATTCAAACGTGAATACATATCATGAACAAGCTCATCATCATTCATTGTAAAGTGAATCATAATTTTGTTTAGCTAGACAATGTTTTTGCTCACGGACATTTGATGTGCTATCATGGAGCTCTTGAAGTTTTAACCAAATTTCATGTGCCGTATTTAAAGTGAACACTTGGTTAAACACATCCATACTAAATGATTCAAACAAGCAATTTTTAACTCTAGCATTGAAATGAATTTCCTTTTCTTCACTCTTCGTAGGTTTATTATAATTTTTAATGGGTTTCATCCCGTCATGAGTGACTCTCCAAACTCCCAAATCAACCGCCTCAAGATAGCAAGCCATTCTAGCTTTATAATAGGGAAAGTTAGTGCCGTCAAAGTACGGAGGCCTAGAGGTATCCATCCCAACCACTCTAAATGGCGTCGGCTCAACGGCGGTTAAGCCAAGGTCCAAATTGAGTCAACCGGCTCTGATACCAATTGAAGGGGACCGTGACGCCTAAAAGGGGGGGGTGAATTAGGCAACTTAAAATTCTAACTCTAAACTATGGCATCTTTTTCTAACCTTAGCAAAACATATGCAAAAGATAAACCATCTAAATGTGCAACTACGATTTTGCTAGTGTATTGCTCTCTATCGCAAAAGGAGTAATATAAACAATGTAAATGCGAAAGCTAAAGAATAAGGTAGAGATATACAAACTCCCGTCGACGACTCCGGTATTTTTACCGAGGTATCAAGAAGCGTGCAAGCTTCCCCCTAGTCCTCGTTGGAGCCCCTCGCAAGGGCCAAGCTCCCGGTCGGGTAACTCCGTGGATAGCCTCGGGCCTTTCCCACGTGCAAGTGGGTCTCCGACATACCTTCCGGCAAGCCTCTCCCGGATGCTCCCCGCCGTCTTCACTATCAAGTTTCTGGACAAAACGCCGCGGGCCTTGTTCCCTCCGGTACACGGTGGCGGCCACACTACAAACGCGGTTGGTGTGATCTCACAAGACTACAAGCCTCTCCGATGTACAACAATGGTACGCACAAGCACCGAGTGGTAAGAGGTATGCAAACCTCACTAAACACTAGGCCTAAACCTAGAGCAAGCGCATAAACGGTGGTCTAATCAACCTAAGCACTTCGCAAAGCACCTACGCTAATCATCTAATGAATCACTAAGCACTATACAAGTGGAGATCACTAAAATGGTGTATCAACACCCTTGATATGTTTCCTTAGCTCCACACTACTCATTTGGTCGGTTGGGGTTGTATTTATAAGCCCCACTGAGAAAGTAGCCATTGGGGACGAAGTCTCGCTTTTCTGCTACTGACCGGACGCTGATCACGTCCTGACCGGACACGTCCGGTCGTCCCGACCGTTAGAGCTGCGATCAACTGATCGAACACTGCCAGCGTCCGGTCGCAGTTTTGTCGCTCTGGAACCTCTCTGTACTTGACCGGACTCTGCTGTCTTGCGTCCGGTCGATTAGCCGCCAGCGTCCAGTCTAGTGTCTAGTCGCTGCTGCTGGCGCCTGTTACCGAGCCTCTTGATCGAAGCGTCCGGTTGCTTTCCTCCAGCGTCCGGTCCAGCGTCCGGTCACTCTGTGAGCTCGTTTCTTTGCGATCATGCATACGGCTTGGTTTCTTATCTTCGTGCTTGGACTTTGCTTGATATCTTGGGTCTTCTCTTGTACTCTTAAGGTCTTGCTTATGGTGTTGATCATCGGATCATCACGTCGCCTTCGTCCAAGTCACGTCTTGCACCTTATTGGACTACAAAACAATCACTTACAAATTTATTAGTCCAATTTGGTTGTGTTGGTCATCAAACACCAAAATCCAAAGTAATTGGGCCTAGGGTCCATTTTCCTTACACTCACGTCGCGGTCGTTGGAGGATCCCGCAGCGCTCTCGACCGAGGAGCTCATCGACGGCGGTGACCCTGTGGACCCTGCTGCCGCTGTTGCTGATGTGGTGGCCGTGTCCGACTCCGATGTGGCGTTCCTAGCCTACCCGTCCACGACAACAACCGTCGCCGAGTCACGATGACGCACGCCAACCTCGTGACTGCCATGGCCCGCGTCGCGGACAACGACGGCGGCGTTGTCGGGTGTGGATCTTCTTCCTTCCCATGTGCAAAGACCTGACTGCGCCGCTGCCGCCCTCGGGCTCCCCAATGCGGAGCCACCACGATGCAGCTGCCTCCGCTGTCGTCGCAGTCCGATCCGAGGGCGGCGAGAGAGGCGGTGGCCGCGCACACCGCCACGAACTTCGTGGCGACGCCCGAGGAGGCTGCGGCAGCTCTCGCCGCTCCCGTGCCGCTAGATGGGAAGCTCTCCTCGCTAAGGCGGGTGATCGTGGTGCCCACACCGTTGACGCCAGGGGCACGGGAGGAGTTCCGCCGGAGGCTACCGTGGGTCCAGCTGACGCAGCTACTGTCCGGCACGCCGGAGAACCAAACGGAAACAAAGGGGTATCAGATGACAAAAACAAAGTGCTAGCTAGCTAATAATCCAATGTGATACAATCTCAGTCTTTGGTATACTTGTATGATGCTATGCTCTTACTGTTGAATTATTGTCTAAGACTACCTAGGAAAATTTTCTACCAGGTGCCACCACCTAAGAAGAAAAACAAGATTATTTCAGGAGGCATATTTTCAAGATCAACCATAAGCAAGATCTTGAGGAAGCACCCGGTAACTGGGAACAGACAAGCTGCCTCAAAACTGTAGCAGATCCTCCGCTTTCATTTCCTGTTCGGAAGCTGCTTGTCAACCTGATGAAGCATGATTCAAAAGTTACAATCAGTCGAAATTTCTAGTATCAAATGTTGAGTTTTACAGTAGAAGCTGATAATTTCTACTATCAAATTGTATGGAAGCAGTCCGTGAGTATATGATGTGAATGGGAAAAAAAAAAGATGCAGAGTTTACCCCCATACTTACAACGCTATAATTCCCTACCTCTAAGATTTCAAGTGACAACTTTTGCATTTTTTCGTCCCATAAGTATGAAACATATAAAAATCTAAACTCAAAAGACCTTCAGATGTACTGGAGATTTTTTAGATAAACAATGTACTAGAGATTAGGTAATCACATACGTCTCCCCTAAAGTTCCCGGCAAACATAATTTAGTGTGCCATAAAATCTTGGTCAAAAAGGCTATACCATCTACAAGGTTTCTATTGTCTTCTGTCAAGTAAAAATAAATGTGAAAAATCCAAGATAATTATGATTTAATGTCCACGTCATCATTGCATTTATTTGATATTGTAGATGTTAATTCTATAAACTTGGCCAAAGTTAGACATATTTAACTTAGGGCAAAACTAAAACGACTTACAATTTGAAACAGAGAGTACAACTTAGCAACAGCATGATGCAGTGTGCACTAGACAATTCATGAGTTAGAACCCTATTTGAACAAGTTTCTGACCAAAAAGGTCGTGTGGAATGGAAACCATAAAGCTACAACTGTAGCTGAACCCCTGCGTACATCAAACATTGTTCCATCCAAGCATGCTGCAGATAGGACTTACTATTCGTCGTCAGAGACCTCTGCACTACCTGCCACCCACTTCCAAACACCCCCAGATTTTCGTCTCTGAGTCGTTGCAATGGTTTGCTCCACCTGAGATATTTGTTGACGCAGTACGTCTAGTTCATTCTCCAAAGAACCAGCAGATTCCAGTCTCTTCCGTGCAGCAGCAATTTGCGACTAAGTTGAGAGATTCAGGAAAAAAGAGAAGTGATCAGAAGCATAAGAAGGAAACCAGAAAATAAGTATTTTCAGGATCAGCGAATCAATTGTATGTTTAAGTTTAGCACCTCAAGCTTCTGGCATCTTGAACCCTCTGCTGCTAGTTGATCTTGAACTGATTTAAGCTCCTTTGAAAGGGGAAAAGACAGAGATTGTCAACAAAAATTCAAGAATTCCATATTGCAGAACGTAAAGAAAGCTTTACCTTTGCTAATTCACCATATGACAAGTTTGCCATGTCTAATTTATCCTTTAGTTTTGAGTTTTCATCGCGAACTTCTGCCAGTCTGGACGCTAGTTTACCATTCTCTCCATTAAGTACATCCATTTCGGCAACAAACTTTTTGGAATTACTTGCAGGTTGAGCTCTCTTGATGTCAAAATCATCTGTAGCAACAATATCTCTGGTTTTCTCATCTGTAGCAGTAATTACAGCATAGGCAGTTGTCACAGAAGCTGCGGCGGCAGCTGCAGCTGGTGATTGAAGAAGACGAGGTTGAACTAAATTTCTTGCCTTGGGTTTCAAAACAAAGATCTGCAGCAAAGTGCTCATTTTTGTCAGATAATTAAGCACGTCTTTTAACATTAGGAATAGATAACTGAAACAAACTCAGGCACTCAAGCCGCTAACATATACGAAGACAATCCCAGAAAATGAATCTAATATCTGACATATAACACATGAATCATTTCCCAAAAAAAAAAAAGGTAATATGACTAGATATCATTCACTTAAACTGAGCACCTCGTTGCTGAATTTCCCATTGTAACCGCCAAAGGCAATTAGAACCTTTTCACCATCAACTGTGGTTGAGCAAAGGGTGAGACCCTGTATAAAGTATCAAATAAGCACAAGTCAAAAGATAGTATTAAAAGTGTGTTGGTAAGTCACAGTTTAGTCTTACATCACCACATTTTGCAAAGCTCAAGATCTAAGGAACATGAATGTGTTTCTTAATGGCATATTTGATTGTTGCCCCCAAAAATAAACAGCACACTGTCATTTATTTAGGCTAATGTTGAAACAAAAAGAATTGCAAATGAAAGTACCACAAAGATGGCATGGCATTTTGTAATGGTGTTTGCAAGAGTAAAAGTTAAACCTGATTGTAAAGCATTAAGCCATCCCTAACATCTATCCACAAAAGTATTGTAACCAAATCTAGACAAGTGTTGGAAAAAAATATGAAAACAAGAGTTAGATGTGAATAATCATGATAATATGATATTTAGTAAATAAGCAGTGTACAGAAGGCAAAATAAAAAATTGTCAATGTGAGTCTATTTCAATTTTACATCCATGCACTCGAGACATGAAATTGCAGATGGAATGCTGCTACAAGACTACCTTACTTTATGGTGAGTTTAGCTAATTCCAGAACTAGGAAACACAATTGCACCAAATATTTCTTACCTCACAAGCTAGAGGATCTCTAGCTGAGACGCTGGTGACCACTGACCACACAAACTTGGAAGCATTCATTACAATTGTATCAGTGGAACCTGCAACATGTGCATTTACATAGATACTAGATCATAAGTAATTGTACCCAAAAAAAATATAAACACTAATTGCAGCATCCTGTGCACATTACCATTTGCATTATCTCCACCACCAACAATGCACCAGTTTTCATCAATCATAGCACCAGCATGACCACTTCTTGGAGTTATATGTGCTCCTTGGACATCAGGTTGAGACCACTCCAGCTGTTAGCACAAGAAATTACTTAAGCGAGTATTGAAAGTATATTATTCATTCCTATGTTCATTGGAGTCTTCAAATTTAATGTTAAACTTCAGCATAGACTTGATTCCATCTTGTAGAAGTACGGTGTAATTTGATTAGCATGTCTGCATGTCACCTTAATACCTTATGCCATACAGCAGCTTCTTTTAGACATAGTGAAATGGAGTCCTACCCTATCAATGGATTGTAATTACTATTAACTTGGTAAAGTTTTTGAATTTGGAAGTCCTACTAAAACCAAAACTACTAGTACGTGTAAAATGATTTGAAGGCACTCATAAGCAATCAAAGAACAAGATTAGAAGATGGATTGCTACAGATTGTTTTTGTAAAATTATTCGAAGTTCCAAAGTATATAAGAACACAAATGAACTTGTGTAACCTAACTCGTAAACAACATTCAGTACTTACAGTTTGCAAATCGAGTAGGTAAAGATCATTGAAGCATGTAGAGTGAGAAGAGCCACCAAAGATCAGAAGATACTGGTCAGCGTAAACAGCAGCTGAATGATCGTACCTAGGAGCCGGACCACCTTTCCTATTTCACAATAGGAAAGCAAAACAATAAGCTCAGCAAGAGCTTGGAATTACACAAGGATATTTTCAGTATAAGCTGTACATAATTCTTACTCTGATTTGATTTCTTCCCACATCATTGTCTCCAAGTCAAGTATATGAAGATCATTCAGTAGCCTTCTCTTGTTATCCTCTCCACCAAACATTAGTAATCGAGAACCAAGTAGGGATACAGATTGGCCACCTCGAGCTGTCTAAAAAAACAATAGAACTCAGCAAGGTCCCAGGTAAACATGTGCACCAGTTCACTTACAAATCAGTTTGTTTTTAAGTGCAGAAGAAAGGATTCTTACTGGAACTTTTCCATAAGTATCAACAGCAGACCAGCTATTGGCTTGCACATCAATAAGCCAAACTGCATCCAGAAATTCAGCACTATCATTTACAATCAGTTTGGTTCTTGTAGAACTGAGATCACTACAATAAAATTAACAAGTAACAGGCAATGTTTTGGGAAACAACTGAATTACTGGTGTACTGAGAACTATATGTGCGTCAAAGGAAATCTATGAAGGGCGGGCCTGGTGCAAGCGGTAGAGTCTTACCGCCTGTGATCGGAAGGTCCCGGGTTCGAGTCGCGGTCTCCTCGCATTGCACAGGCGAGGATAAGGCTTGCCACTAACACCCTTCCCCAGACCCCGCACAGCGCGGGAGCTCTCTGCACTAGGTACGCCCTTTTTTTTAAAGTTTAGTGTGTTACAAAAAATGAAATGGTTTCATGAAGAAATACCTGAAACCTTATTTGATGATGATGATGACCTCGTGTTTCCAGCTACAACCACGAGATAGTTTTTCCACTTGACCTGAGCAAAAAACAACGGTCAGCATAGATCATAACAGCTGTTTGGATCGAATGAACAAGACAGTAAAAAAATCCATTAAAAAGGAAGGATTGTATGTTTACCAAACTGTGGCCTGCTAATGCTGGGAACGATCCACCTGTGGCATTGTTTTCATGATTCAGCTGGTTTGAGTCTCTAGCAGGGTTTAACGCTGACCACGTGGATGTCCTAAAATCAAAAACCTGCCAAACATGTCCAAGTTTGTTCAAATATAGGTAACGGAAAACCGTGAGGGACGAGATTTAGTGGCGTGGCAAACCTGGACATCCGATAGAGAACGGCCGTTGCGACTCCCTCCGACCACATACAGTTTGTCTTGGACCACTTGCGCGGCATGCTGTCACATATCAGCGCACTTGAGGAGTGAGGGCGGTAACCGAAGCAGAGGGTTCAATCAACGCACAACACACCACGGCCAGCAGATCTAATTCATTCCGCCATTCACCCCGTCGTCCTAGTGCAGCATAGACACATGGAAGTCCTAGTGCAGTATAGACACATGGACGGAAATTGCTGCTTGATGGGCCAATGTCCCTTCCTCGTGAGCTAAGCTAAAACTAGCCGCTAGACATAAACGGGACGGACACTAGAAGGCAGAACTACAGAGCGGTTCCTGCTGCAATCTGTGGCAGGCGATGCATCTGTTTGCACCGATCGAATTTGCACCCAGTAATGAATAAGAAGTGATGATGGTGACGGCACACTAGGAAGGCTCCTAGCTGGTTACGAAATCACAGCGAGATCGCCGCCAGCAACGGTAATGGTGACGAGGAAATCGATCGAATGATACAGTAATAGGTATAACAGCAGCAGCAGCAGCAGCAGAAAGGCAGGAACCGCTCGTGCCATACCTTATAGCGCGCGGGCGGGCGCGGCGAGCCCCCGGCGGGGCTCAGCAGCACCCACTGGTCGTACGGCGCCGCGGCAAGGCCGGCGTCGCCGCTGATCCCCTCCCCCATTCCCCCACCGACGCCCCCAACCCACCTGGGATGGATGGAGGATGGATGAATCTGGGCGAGATTGATCCGGGTGCGGGATTCACTGAGGACTGATTCCTTGGCTGGGCTAGGGAGAGGGATGGAATGGAGAAACGGACTTGGATCTGAGGGAAGAGAGTGGAAGAGGGAGACCCCGGCCCTATCGTCCGATGACTCGGACGGAGTCCGCCGCGTGCGTGCGTGTCACGTCCGTTCCGTTGGGGCGACGGAACGGCGAGCTACTTCATTGCGCTTCGTCAGGGCAGACGCGTAAACCCTCCCTGTGAAAGCGTATTTTGGTATTATTTGAGTGAACACGTTGGGCGTGTTTGGTGCAGCATCGGCTCCGGCGCTGGCACTGGGTTTGGCATGGAGCCGGAGGAGCCGCACCAGAAGAAACGCTTCTGTGTGTTTGGAGGAGGAGTCAGACATCCCACTCTGGCTCCAGCAAAGAAGCCTATGGGCGTGTTTGTTTTCGCTTATAATCGGAATCGAGGTGAAAAGAAGCGAGAATCCCACCTAAACACCCTCGCTTATTTTAGATTATGTAATCATCGGGGAGGTGAAAACAATCCTGAATGAACTTGTACCGGCGTTTTGCGGACCGCAAGCGAGCGACTGCGTTTCTCACACCGCGACTCTTTTTCCACCCTCTGCCCCTCCGCTCACCCGTCCGTCTCCCGTCCGCTCCCCTCCACTCGCGCCGCCCCTCCCACTGTCATCTTCTCCGGAGGCACCCGCAGCTCTTCGGTCGGTGGAGGCCGGCTCTCCCGTCGTCCTTTCCTCTACTCCGACTGAAGGTGTTCCGCTTCGTCTACGATCCCCTCCGTCCTGGTTCCCTTGATTTGTTGAGGTACTTTTCTTCGTACCCGATCTATGGATTGCTTTGATTTGTATTACAAAAGGACGAATTATAGATGAGTACCATGGCCAGGGATATGTCTGTGCAGATGTTGAATGCCTTTTGTTTTAGGAATTAGAGCTGCATTGCTTTGGTTATGAATTTTTCTTCAAATATAATGTTGAATGCTTTGTTTTATATATTTATTAGTCTGTGGAGATTTGAAATGGACAAGTCAGCAAAAGTTCAGGCAAAATGGGATGCTTTTTCTGCTAAGGCCTTCAATGACATTTGTGTGGAAGAAGTTCTTGCCCACAATAGGCCTGGACATTGTTTGAATAGTTTGGGCTATGCAAATCTTGTCCGAAAGTTCTTCGAACGTACCAAGAGGTACTTAAGTGCTTTTTGTGGGCATGTGGTGCACCTCAATCATTTAGGCAAGTGAAGAACAAGTTCACACACTCATTAGAAACTATTAGCAGGAAATTTATAAAGGTACTTAAGTGTGTCATGCAGTTGGCTTTTTACATTGTGAGGCCTACATATCCACATTTTGGTTCTATACATCCTAAGCTACAAGAAGCTAGGTTTTGGCCTCATTTCAAAGATTGCATTGGTGCAATCGATGGCACACATATATCAGTAATTGTTCCATTGCATGAGCAACCTAAATACATTGGTCGCCATGGTTATGCTTCGCAAAATATAATGGCGGTCTGTGACTTTGATATGCGGTTCATATTTGTTGTCACTGGTTGGCCCGGATCTGTGCATGAGAGTCGTGTCTTATTGGATACTCTAGTCACATACAAGCAACAATTCCCACACCCTCCCAAAGGTATATATCTTTTGGACTCAAATCATTTTTTTTGCAATTGACAAGGATATGAGGTGTTAAGTAACCTACAATTACAAATGTAGGGAAGTATTATCTCGTCGATTCAGGATATCCTAATAAAAAAGGATATCTTGCACCATACAAGGGACAAAGGTACCATGTTTCTAAATGGCAACACGGTCGTACTCCAGTGAGATTCAAGGAGGTGTTCAATAATGCGCATTCAAGTTTGAGAAACGTGATTGAGAGGTCATTTGGAGTCCTAAAGATGAAATGGCACATTCTCTTGAAGATGCCCAAATATTTAGTGAACAAGCAATCAAAAATTATAGTTGCTTGTATGGCTCTTCACAATTTCATTAGAGACAATTCCATAAATGATGCTCACTTTCAATCAAATATCCAAGAAGAAGGTACAGATGGACCCGAATCCAGCTTGGGTGAAGGAAGTGCTTCTGGAGATGATATTGATATGAGTGCTTTGCGTGATGCTATAGCCACGTGAAAGCTCTAGTTTGGTTTTGGTGAATTGATGAAACCCTAAGTGCTAACCTAGTTTATCAAGTGATCATGAGATAGGTAGCACACTCCAAGTGGTGAAGCAAATGAAGATCATAGCATGATAAAGATGATGGCATGGTGATGATCAAGTGCTTCGACTTGGAAAGAAGAAAGAGAAAAACAAAAAGCTCAAGGCAAAGGTATAACTTGTAGGAGCTAATTTATTTTGGTGATCAAGACACTTAGAGAGTGTGATCACATTTAGGTTTGATAGCCGTACTATTAAGAGGAGTGTAACTCGTATCGAAATGCGATTATCAAAGTGCCACTAGATGCTCTAACTCATTGCATATGCATTTAGGATCTAGTGGAGTGCTAACACCCTTGAAAAAATTTGTGAAAATATGCTAACACATGTGCACAAGGTGTTTGCAGGGTTGAGATGGGTTTGGGTCCCTCTCGGGATTCGGCGCTTTCGGGAAAATGAAATGTCTATTTTCTATTGCGCCGGATGCAAAATTCTTGGTGGTTGGCACACTTGAGCAAGGGTGAAGAAGTAAGAGTTGAAATGGAGTTGATCGAAATGATCTTCAATCTGTGACCGGACGCCGCTGAATCAATACCGGACGCATGCTCTTCGTACCCTGCGTCGGTCATGACTTCAATGATATAAATGGCTAGGGTTGAGCACCGGACGCTTCTGCGCATCGAAAAGATGGACCCGGACGCGTCCGATCAAAAAACATGCCTCGGGAGCTTCTTCGAAACAACCGGACGTTGGGGCTTCATCCGATCAGTTTTTACTCGAGCGTCCGATCACCTTCATGACCGCTGAAATCGACGAACAACATTTGAAGCGGGGACACGTGGCGTGAATCACGTGACGAGACGCCGAGGGCCGCCGTCCGGTCGATCGACTGAGCGTCCGGTCACCCAGCGTTGTGCATAGTGAGTAGGTAAGGTACAGCGGCTCTATTTCATTGGGGCTCTTTTTATAGCCCCATGGCGGCTCAAGGGAGCTCTCTTGCACATTTTCATTGACATAGCAAGCTTGTGAGCATAGCCAAAGGACTCCCACTCATCTACATCATTGATTCATTATCATAGTGAGATTGGGAGTGATCCAAGTGCATTGCTTGAGTGATTGCATCTAGAGGCACTTGGTGATTGTGTTTCATATATTTATTGATTTTGCTTGTTACTCTTGGTGGTTGCCGCCACCTAGACGGCTTGGGAGCAAGGATCGTTGAGTGGAGGAGGTGATTGTCTCCGACCCGATTGTGGTGATTGTGAGGGTTCTTGACCTTTCCCGTGAGCGCCAAAAGGTACTCTAGTAAATTGCTTGTGGCTTGTGTGATCCTCATCTTGTGTTGGTTGTGCGGCACCCTATTGAGGGTTTGGCGAGTGATGCCAATCAACGTGAACCTCCAAGTGAGTGAATCATACACAACGAGGACTAGCTTGTAAGATTGCATTGAGGCAAGCAAGTGAACATCGGTAAAAATCATTGTGTTCATCATTGATTCCGAGGTGATTGGTCATCATTGTTATTCATCTTCGTGATTGATTGGTTCATTCATCTACACGGCGGTATAACCCTCTTGATCACTCTCTTTACTTTACCGCAAACTAGTTGACAAGCTCTTTAGTGTAGCTAGTTGTGAGAGCTTGCATGCTTGGTTGGTGTGGCTCTTTAGTTAGCCTTTGAGAGCACACTAACATAGGGTAGTGTCATTGCTCTTGTGTGAATTGACACTATCTAAACTAGAATTGTGGTAGGTGGCTTGCATTTTTGAGTAGGCTAGCGCAACACTAGCTTCGCCTCATAATTGTCTAACCATTTAGTTAAGTGTTGTTGTAGAAATTTTTATTAGGCTATTCACCCCCCTCTAGCCATTAGGACCTTTCACCACGGCTATGGTTGGTTGATGAACTGTTGTATCGATCTTAATTTGTCTAGACTTTTGTTAATTTCATGTTGCCTACACATTAGTTATTGTCACAAACTAATTATTATGGAAACACAAAAAATTAGTACCATAACTATTTTGAGCTCGTATTCAGTGAACAAATAAGGTGTTATCAGCCTCAGGGGCATACATGTCATTTTGCACTCAGAACAGACAATCTAAGGGCAATAATCAGGATTGCCAAACACCCTTGATTGTTCAGACAGCAGATTCTTTTCATCGCAGCTTATCAAAAAATCATGATCAGATTAAAATCGATTATCAGATAAGCGTTCCTAAACAGGGCCTATAATAACTATCGTCCTGTTCGCTTGAACTTATTCAGAACCACTTTTTAGCTATGGAATAGTATTTTTCTCTCACAACATTTTAGCATAAGCATCATCATAAATTAAATTTCAGCATAAGTGAACAGGCTGTATAACTATGAGGTTGTACCAAATAGACACTTAGATAAGAAGATGTAGTCCAAAGAGATGTGCATCTGATGGTAATTGGCATATTAAGTAGTCATATACTACGTTATTCTCAAAAAAGGTAGACATACCACATAATGTGTAGTGTGTGTATTTATATCTATAACTAATATTAATCTATATCTATACCTACCTAATAAATTTTCGCCTATTTTTTTTGTCTATCTATTTTTTGGTTCATCTCCCTCTAACTACCGGACAACGAAGAGTTTCTTCCGTTCAGACTTACGTATATAACACGTACCATACAAATTAGAATAGCACTTGTCTAACATGATACAGAGTCTGATTTCAAAACATATTGGATCCTGCAAGACCAAATTAATAATCGGCCAACAAATCAAAAGGAATGCAGC